AAAGGAAAATCCAACTACGTTAACAAGAACTGCAATGAAAATAAAACATGACGCCCACATTCCATTCTGGAGGACTTAAACAGGACAGTAGCAGCAAATAGGAACATGCAAACTTGACATAATAAACCATAAGTTAAGCATATATTCTCTTCCTTTTTTTCTGTTTTTTCCCCTAGTGTTGGTTGGATAAGGGGGACTACAGGAAATAATATCCTGAACTTGATGCACCACAGAGTAAGCCTCAGCATCAATACATTTTTGTTTCTGTGACATTATCACCTTCATCTTGATCGAAAGAGATTCCTGGGTGATTACTTTCTTTTTAAAGAAAAAACAAAATACAAAATTCCTGGGTGATTACGTGGCAATGCTTGCCGCCAACAGAGTGAAACCCAGAAGGAAAAACTTGCCAAGCCATTGTTTTTCAACTACTATACATATTTTGAACAAGCATTTGGGGCCAGAGACATGCATACATACATTTAATTTTTTTTTATGAAGCGAATATATATATATATAGACAAATGCATATATTCCATTACAGGTGTTTTGGTATAAGTAAAAACTTCTTGACAGAACCTCATACTACTTTGTTTCGAACAAAACCTAAATGAATGTCAAGATATCAGCTTATTATTTTGAATTAATAAAGGAAAACAGTTGTAATATGAGAATTATCACCTGAAGGGCAAGCTCTCTTGTGGGAGTAATAATTAGAGCGCGGAGGAGACCTGCCGAGGCAACTTTTTCATCCAATTCTCCATTTTCTGGAAGCTGCCTTTCGGCCTTTTCTTGCTCCTCAAGCAGACGTTGAAGAATGGGCAGACCAAATGCCAGTGTTTTCCCTGAACCTGTCTCTGCAGCACCCACAACATCCTGGCACACAAACCAACCAGCATAAATATGTATATGACACCATCTCCAGTGAAATACCTTGATTTTTACCACATAACCAACCTTTCCTTGGTGAGCACCTGCAGGAATGCATGCTTTCTGTATTGGTGTAGGTTCTTTGAACTTAAGCGCGTATATCGATTTCATGAGCAGTGGATGAAGTCTCAGTTCATTCCATGCATAATATTCAGTTTCATCTACTGAATCTTGTTCTTGATCATCATTTCCATCAGTGACTGTTCGAGTCAGATTTCAAAACAAGAATTAATACCAAATCATAAGAGAAGTCTTCAATGTGAGATCATGTTGCAATGATAAAACCAATGGACGAGGTCCTAGTCAGTCGTTCAGAAAGAGTAATTAAGGACTATATCGACTGCAACATTAACTCACACCAGTTTCTTTTCCAATAAAAATTAATCGGTCTACTCCAAATTTGTGCAAGTTAACATTCCCCATATATAAAAACAGTTAAATGGAAGTAGGTCAAAAGCTTTCTAGTGAGCACCACTCGCAGCAATAGAATATTTAGAAGAGCTTGTAGGAATAGCAAGTATAGGAAAGTATGCCTACTGTTTTTCTTTTTTCTTTTATATTTATAACAATTAGAAACCTGATGAATGGCCAATAAATTTAGAGAAAGAATCACATATCCTTCTGGTCTAACTCTTTGCATTTACCTTGCATTCTTCCAACATTCAAGCAGAGGTAAAATTCTATTTTATTACTGGAACTGAATTCAACTGACACAATATATATCACTTACAAAGCCATTTCAAGAACCCAAAACACAGAGCATAGCTTAGTGAAACAATAGGTCAAGATATTGATGCATTGACATCCAGAAAAATACCTAACTAACAATAAAATTATTGAAAGATTCGCCAATGTGATTAAAGGTTATTATGCATCGACACTGAACTTGAAGTTGACTGACTGATACCAGAATTTCAGAAATTATGAAAATATCCAGAGACTCAATGAAAGAACAAGTTAGCATTATACCAAACTTAAAAATTGAGAAGCCTTTACAAAAAGGAAAATATCAGATTTTAATGCAACACTAACCAGCTGGTGACTCTTCATTTCCTTCAGCTTCATTTACAGCATCTTTATTGATCTTATCTTTCTTTTTCTTCTTCTTCTTTTTCTTCTTTTGTTTCGTTTCCTTTCCCACCTCCTCAATCTCCTCTTTGCTCTCACCCTTAGCTTCACCATTCAATTCCTCATTTTTGGTATCTACTTTCTGTTTCTTCAGTTTTGTCTTCCCCTTTTCTTCACTTCCCCCAGTTGATTTGGCAATACCCAAATTGTACTCTGATTCATCGATCTCTTCAAGACATAAAAAACCTACACTCAAAACACCCAAACCTGTGTCAGTCCTTGGAACCCAAAATTATTTGTGCTCAACAAACACATAAGTTTTAACTAACAACAGGGGAAAATCAACAGAACACAAGAAAGCTTAACGACTAACGCAAAAATACCCAGAGTTTAAGAAAGCTTACAAACCAAACAGCTATTGTTACGTTAAGGTTTGTTATCTCCTAGAATGTGCAATTTCTTAAATTCGCAACATAACCACTCGAAAAAAGTTCTTATTTAAAAGATAATTTCCAACAGATATAAGGCTAAAAAAACATGGATCTTTTATCTGCCAAGAGAATACAACAGCAATGACAACAACAATAATAACTACACCTCAACCCCAAGCTAGCTGGCGTTGGCATATGAATCCTCAATATCATAAATGTTCTGTTTGGGTCCATAATATAGGCTAAATATTCTATCTTTCCCGAAAAGTAAGATTTTTTATTTGACACCAAGAGTAAACATACTGAAAATTTCAACTGTGAGCTTTCTCTAAACTCTCTAAAATTTCACCAGATCCTAAAAGAAGTTAATGTTAAAGGGGAGAAACAAAGTGGCTTCCTTCGAACTCCTTGAATCCAATTTGAACTAAATTATTTATCTTCCCCAAGAGACAGTAAGCTAAAAATCCAATCTTTATATTGTTGCTAAAACTTCAACTTCATACAATAACAATCTCTATCCAATTGTGGGGTTTCTCAAAAACTATCGGAAAAGAACAAAACAGCTGATTAAATGCAAAAGGGCAGAAAAATAAACCTCCGTCAAGCTCGTTGAAGCCAATCTGATCTAAATTATTTATCTTCCCCAAGAGACAATAAGCTAAAATTTCAATCTTTATACACTCTCAATCCCTCTCCAATTATGGGGTTACTCAAAACTATCAGAAAAGAACAATACAACTGATTCAATGCAAAAGGGCAGAAAAATAAACCTCCTTAGAGCTCATTGAAGCCAATCTGGTCTAAATTATTCATCTTCCCCAAGAGACAATAAGCTAAAAATCCAATCTTTATACAATAACAATCCCTATTCAATCATGGGGTTACTCAAAAACTATCAGAGAAGAACACTACAGCTGATTCAATGCAAAAGGGCAGAAAAATAAACCTCCTTATAGCTCCTTGAACCCAATTTGAACTAAATTACTTATCTTCCCCAAGAGACAATAAACTAAAAATTCAATCTTTATACAGTAACAATCCCTATCCAATCATGGGGTTACTCAAAAACCATCAGAAAGTAACAATACAGCTGATTCAATGCATAAAGACAGGAAAAAAAGAAACCTCCTTCAAGCTCGTTGGAGCCAATAAGGAAGGAGAAATCATCATCTTTCTCTGTAAGTGTTGGGTTCCAATTAAGTGAGTTGATTCGCTCAAATTCTACTGATTCAACTCTGCTTCGTTTCTTTGTCTTCTTTGGTCTCTTCTTATCTGAAATTTGAGAAGCCATAGATAGCTACAGAGAGCTCAAAATTTCTCTTACAAAAAGGAGAAACAGGGTTTAACGACAAGCATTTAGGGCTTTACTCTTTTCGATTTATATTTCTTTTGGTAAATTACAAATACATCCACTCTAGTTTTTGATAGTTACACATACGTCTCCTTTAGTTTTTGGGATGTGAAAAGAAAGTTGGCATAATATATCAACGTGTCATTTAATTTAGTCTCGATACACATTCATGTTAACTAACTTTAGAAATGAACAAGTAAACACTTGAACTTATATAAAATCGAACATTTATTTAATTTATACAAGTTAAAATGTATATTTGTGTAGACCTAATGTTGATGGACATATCTATTAACTTCAAACAAATTTAATTAATATATTTATATACTAGGCCAAAGAAAAAAATTGTTACACCTTTAAATTTTACTAGAAAAAAAAATAACAACCCACCTTGGTATTCACTAAAAAAAATGATAAAATAATCATAGATTTATAATTATCATCAAAGTATATGCTGATTTAAACACTTTTAGTCTTTTAAATTGGCCTTATTCACAAATTTAACAAATTCTTTCTACTATATTCGATAAGAAATGTGAAAAAAGAATTTCTAATATTTTTAATCTATTTTTTGGTGTCTAATATATTTACCTTTTTAATAAAACAAATTGGTGACATGAAAAAAGAGAAATTAGAAGGTAAAACTAGAAGTGCAAACAAAATAAATCAACCAACTAAACTATTAATTTTTTATTTTTTTTAGTCTAAAATACAATTTTTACATGTAATTTTTAGAATTTAACAAATTTTCCTAATATTTTGATTAAATCTTCTTTTTCACAATTTTCATCAAATTTAAGATACAAAATTTGCTACTCAATATTTGAGGAAGATCATAAATGTTTAGCTTTTAACAAACAAAGGATCAAAACCTACTTCTAAACTAGCAAGAGTTTTGATAAGTACTTATTCATTCTTAATCAGAGATTTTAGGTTCGAATTTCTCTGAGTACGAAGTCGCCTTTGTTAGGGAGCGCTTTACTCCAAGTGAAATTTCTCGACCCATTTAATCGGACTTCAATATAAATAGTTGAATATCAAACATCGATGAAAAAAAAACCCTACTTGCAACACACAAACTACCATTTTTGTCATTTTCTCTTTTATTCACCAAAAATCATAAAAAAAACATTCATTTGCATCAGTTTTAAAAACAATCTCTAGCAGAAATATGAGATAAAATTATGTATAGTAAACTCTTATAATCGAATACTCTTCGAACCCTATACATAGCAGGAGCTTTATTGCGTCTTGTCTTCTTCTCCAACAAACCAAATCTTTAAAAAAAATCCTTTTTTTCACTTTCCACTGATCAGTGCCACTTGTTCTCTTTCCTAATCACACAGCCCATTAAAACCTCTCTCCATCATCACTCCATTATCTGCATAATAAATAAATGCAGCTTCTTCTTTCCAAAGCTTCCCTTTTTTTCAATTCAAGAACTCTTTTTTATTCTTCAACAACAATGGCTACATCTACTTCAATTTCTCTTTCTTCAAAACCCCGTTTAAAGGGTATTGTATTTGACATGGACGGAACCCTAACGGTCCCCGTTATTGATTTTCAGGCCATGTACAGGGCTGTTCTGGGTCATGATGAGTACCTTGCTGTTAAATCCAAGAGCCCTTCTGGCATTGATATTTTGCACCACATTGAAAGTTGGAGCCCTGATAAGCAACGTAGGGCGTATGAGGTTATTGCTGATTATGAAAAGCAGGGTCTTGATCGACTCCAGATTATGCCTGGTGAGGTTTTTTCTGTTTGTAGTTTTTATGTTTGGGGGTAAAGATTGAGTCTTTTTTTAGTTTGTGGGTGTTTTTGACATTTTGAGTTTGGTTGCAGGTGCGGCTGAACTTTGTAGTTTTCTTGATTCTAGGAATATTAGGTAAGACCGACTTATGAGATGTAGTTTTTTGTCATTAGTTCTTAGTCAGCTACAGAGTTTGGTAGCTAAAGCACTTCTAAAGGTTATTTTGAGCATCTCTATTATTTGTTATGTTTTCTTTACTTTTATATTTTGAACTGCTTTGATATGGGTTACTTGAGTTGAGGGTCTTTTGGAAGCAGTCTCTCTACCTCCTTGAGGTAGGGTGCACTCTATCCTCCTCAGACCTCACATGTGGGATTACACTGAGTATGTTGTTGTTGGACTCGAATAGATCCGAAAGATATGGAGGATTTCATATAGCTGAACCCAAGTACTTAATTCATTTGCTCTTTCATTTTCATGTATAGGGGGTAGTAGTACATAGTTGGGGAATGGAAAGGGAGAGTTGGGGTGAGAATTAAGCTTGTACCTTAAAGATGGAAAGGGAGCTCCCACTTATTTATGATGTAATGTTCCTTGTGAGCTATGTGAGCTTTTCTCTTTATTCAGTTCCACGGTAACCAGTTTGAGCATTTTCCTACATCAAAGTAGTTATGTTTCCTCTCTCTCTCTCTCTTGACTCTGCCATCTGTTTTGTCCATCCCATGGCCTAAGGTTTAATGTGCCTAATCTTTCTTTCTCAATCCTTAACTTTGCTTATTCTTTGAAAAGTTTCCGTCTTGAGGTGTGGTTGAGAGTTAAAATGCTTCATGAGACTGCTTGAGGACGCAAGGTATGCAGATTGGCCAGTTCTTTTTAAACCAAGAAATCCAGTGTTTCCAAATCCGAACACCGACTGGATAAATCATGGACCTGCTCCTCTACCCATTTCCACTCAAATATGAGGCCTCGTTCACTAATCAGGATGTACGGTTACTACACATTCCTCATTGTACTACCTTTGCTAGTGAAGCAAAGTCCTGATATACAAATTGGCCAGATTTTTTTTCCATTTTTTTGAGTATTTACTACATCATAATTTCCCGAGCATTTTTTTGGCCTTTCTCTCACGTGTAAAACTTTTCTTTTTTTCAATTTGTTGGTCTTTTAGACTTCTGTTATGTACTGTCTTATGATGCATCACTTGCTGTCTTCCTTTTTTTGACTGTCATGAGATTGTAGCCAAATTATATTCAAATTGGCGTTGGAAGACTTATCAAGTTTAATTTTCTTGTGACAGAATGGTTTTTCTTTTGGGATACGTAAGTTGTGAGAAAATGCTATGCTCGTGAGATTTTTAAATCTGCTTATATCTGTCAAAGGCATCTTACATTATTTTATGCCCTTCCACCTTCACTCACATTAGGTTATGCCCTTCTTTGTTGATGGATTCCCTTGGACCACACATTTGATTTGATGAGAGAAATTACATATTCAAGTTAAGCTTCAGAAGCTGGATTATCATATCTTTGATAAATTAGATAGAAGGAAATAGCTCGCGTTTCTGTGTTAGCGCCTTAGCGTTTCTGGATAGATTTGATGTATGCTTCCCTCCTATTGAAAAGTACCTATATTGACTCAAATGTACTAGAAGAAGGAGATGTTATTTCACAGTTTAGATGTTTCTGGCTCTTCGGAAGAGAATAATTTAATTGTTTTGTGAATTGTATTTCAGAAGGGGATTAATCACTAGAAATGTCAAAGATGCAGTTGACTTGTTTCACGAACGCTTTAATGTAAGTTTCTTTCCTTTTTCAGTTAAATATATAAAACAATTGTTTTGGCATGAGTTATATGTTGACATAGTAAGCTGAAGTTAGAGAACAAAGGTAGCTGGACTTTCCAGAAGAAAAAAAAAGAAGACATTGCTAGTTCCTTCTATTTAGGGATGAAACAAGAATCATCACTGCCTAGTAGAAGAAAGAGAAAGAATTTATCTTCTTTTATATGCAGTAGTTTCTTTAGTTTGAAGTAAAACAACTAGGAAAACAGAATGGATATTCCAGCTTAAATTTTTCTTCTTCATTCATTACCAGTCAGGCAGTCAGAGGATCATGAACCGCTAAGGTTGTGATGACCTAGGATATTTGTGCAGACGGTGTGGTGGAGAATCTGTATGTTCTTATAGTCAAATAGAGAAGGGAAGCTCATCTAGAGGATGTATGGTTTCTGTCACAATTATGATGGCATGCTCAATTCATTTCTTTACAGGATCTGCCTTGTGGCTGAACAAAGTTTTAAAAGATTATCTAAGACACTCTTTGTAATATAATGTGGAATTTTATGTAGCTGAAACATGTAACACGGAGAGGGAGAAAAGGTGGACAATACCCTCTTTTCTGTTCTGTTAGCAAAATTACGGAAACGATAAGATTAAATCTGTAAATGACATTCAAAAGAAAAATAAGAGACATTTTTCATGAAAAAAAGCATGCAAACCTTGTAAATAACGGTGAAGTTGCAGTGATTTCATTTTCTCATCAAAAGTAAGAAAACTGAAAAGAACCCTGAAAGTTGAAATTGACTTCTTGACCTTGTATCTACTAGGGTCCCACTGTAGGTAGCTCACAAGTTATAAACCAATGCAAAATCACTATTTACTCCGCGGCTCTCAAATCCATTTTGTGCTTGCTTTTTAGTGGTTTTGCAACCACAAAATTTTCTAGGATGCTCATGCATTTCTTTTGGGATAACACCTCTTTTCATTATTTACGTAGCAGGCACCAGCCATGTACTTTCTATGATATTGGTATAGTTGGTTGATTCAACTGAGCTTGATTTGGTTGGTCAAGCTCAACTTCAGTTCTGTGTCTGAGTGTCTAATTACTGTGCCATGTAAAATCCTGACAAATAATAGGAAGCACTGGGCACCAGTTATCAGTGCCAGTATGCATGTTCTCAAAGAAAGGGTCCACTCATGAGTGATATTGCAGAGGAGTTTGTGTTCTGGATAAGTTGTGCAGACACTGGGAATTTTGGAAAGAAGACACCTTAGGTGCAAAAGATGCACTGATTGAAAGGTAAAAGAAAGGAAATGGTACTGAAACAGGACGGAGCCTGCAATTCATAGTCTTTAATACTTCAATAAATTTGTCCCCCTATTATTTGTGTGGTATTTTTACTCATCCTTTTAATATTCAGTAGTAGGGCCCCCATGGCATGGGCTAGTGGTATGAATGCAATATGATGTGTGGGTATGTGCACGTCACAAGTTCAAATCTTTCCCCATACAAAAGGTCGGTATTTAAATGGAGAAGGGTAGAGAGGTTGGCCCATTATCCACCGAGTTTCAATCTGTGTGCCACTGGCCTTCGAGAATTTCTCGGTTATAAAAAGAATCAGAAGAATGGAAAAAGAACAAGCCTCCCGATCTTTTCTGTTTTCCATCTGCGCGGACAATATCTGCAGATATTGTGTCTCATTATTGGGAAATTTATAATGGTGTTTGGATTGGGAAACAGTTTAGGGAGAATTAGTCTTTGGTAGGTTTCCAGAGAATAGTTTAGGCAGAACTGATCACATTCTGAAGTGAACATATCTGAGAGGAGGAAATCTAAAATGCATAGTTGTGTCTGAGTCGAAGAATGAGTGAGCAAACTTCCCTTTTCCATCCTATTATTTAGTATCTTTCAGAATGAAAGAATAAAAGGTCATTTGCTTTAATTTTCTGGCCCCTTAGAAACTCGAATTCCAACTTCTAGAAAAAAGGAAAAAAAGGAAGCTTGAAATCTGAGTGGATTCTCGAGGTGTTTATGGAAGCTTGATGTCTGAGTGGAGTCTCCAAGTGTTCCACTTATGGTTAATCTCCCGAGAAAAGAAACCTCTCCATGTCTGCTATAATATATCTTTCACCTCAGCTCATGCTATACGTTTAGTTCCATGGTCTTTATTACGTATACTATATAAAGCTTAAGTTTAGAATCTCTTTTTGATACAGGTGAAATTTTCTCCTGCACTGAGCAGGGAGTATCGTCCTTACAAACCAGATCCAGCTCCATTGCTGCACATTTGTTCAACTTGGGAAGTTCAATCTAATGAAGTAATGATGATTGGGGACAGCCTCAAAGATGATGTGAGTTTCCTCTCATGCTGAATGTTCTTCTCTTTCACGTCCGCTCTTTGCAATTATTGACTCGATGCATCTCTGTGAAAGATGTGACATTTTCCTTCGCTTAGCTTGATTAAGTTCTTAACTAATTCATATAGGTACTAATTGTGCTTGGTATATGATACTCGAAGCAATTTTCTTGCTTGATCTAACTTTTGTCTGATCGTTAGCAGTTCTTAGCATACGAGCTTTGGCTCCCACCTCTAAGTAGTTACTTTTATGATTTCTTTAGCATTGTGAAATCTTTTTTTCATTCATGCTTGTCAGTCGTCATGCCATTTAGAAAGTCATGGTAAAATACTAAAATATGTGTAGGGACTTGTAATGAATATTTGGGGGTTTGATATACAGGTTGCTTGTGGCAAACAAGCTGGAGCTTTTACTTGCTTGCTCGACGAAACAGGAAGGTATGATGCTCCAGAATATGCAAACGTCCAACACAAACCAGACTATAAGGTGTCTTCTCTTGTTGAGGTTCAGTCACTTCTAGAAACAGATTTTGAGCTGACATCTTGATATTTGCAAATCTTTGGAACCCCCCTGGCCTGGCTGAGCAACGAGACATGGTTTACCCTCGTAAGCCCTCTTGTTCACTCTTGGTGGTGAAACTGGTGATTTACAGAGACATTTATCGATTAGCCTGGTTTGTTGTGGGTGACATAGTCACGAGACCATACATGTGTTTTCTAATGTAGTGTTCTTGTCATCTCTTTGCTCGTAATGGAAGCTCTAGCACAGCTCTTCCACGCCATCACTCTATTCTTCAAACTCCAGCAATTTATTTCATAGTAGCTAAGATTTTCAGAAATGAGACCAACCTAGTCTCAGTTTTTCTTTTTTTCTTTTTTGGAATCGCCTCACAACCTCTGCCACATCTTCTGCCGTGTGAATCAATTATAAGTAACAAATGTAACTTTTTTATTTTTCATTTCCTTTTCTAGTCCATCAATTAACATAGTAGATCAAATTGCATAGTTCATATGTACATTAGTGAATGAAGAAGTCATGAGAAATATTAGTAGGGAAAACATTACATAGCTAAATAATACGATAGTTGAAGTACAAGAAATTACAAATAATAACATAAATCGAATAATAAGAAACTATGAGAGTAACACTAATACTATTGGTTAGAAAGAAGATGAAAATATGGCACTCTATCCAACCAGAAAATGAGACAATGCTTAGCTACCAACTGACTCATATTTTCGACAAACTGTAAATGTATCATTATTAAGATTGAACACAAGCAATTAATTGAACGGTAAATGTGCTTAATCAGATATTACAAATATCAAAATTAAGATATTGTATTTATATCAATATTTGAGGGACTAAATGTGCAAAACCGTTAAATTCAACCGCTAAGCAGCAAAATTCTGTTTATATATTGGCGCGCTTAATCAGTTCCCTCTTCAAGAAATCAGTTGAATGAAAGAATTTACAAGAAACAGAAAAACAGAGCAAAATATGACTTTCAGTATTCACGGTTGCTCCGCCGTATTCCACCACCCATCTGCCACCGCCACCGCCAGCGTAGCTGTCTTCTCCGGTGAAAATTGCAACGTCATGAAAAGTAATACTGTCTCTCTGAAGAGAAAATCTATTTCACCGATCTCTTCTCCTTCTGAACCCTCCCCGAAAAGGGTCTCTCTCAATTCACCACCACCCTCCGCCATTGCCGCCGCTAAGGATGGTCCAGACCCCATTTCACCAACTACTTCACCATCCCCTAAAAGGGTCACTCTCAATTCACCACCACCCTCTGCCGCCACTGCCATTGCCGCCGCCGAGGATGGTCCGGTACCCATTTCACCAAAAACTTCACCATCCCCTGCATTTTCACCCTTCTCCAAAAGGGTATCTGAAAAATCACCTTTTGCCACCACCAACGCCGCCACTGCTGATGCCACGGCGACGCCACCACCGCTGCCATTTTCAAGATTCACAAAAACGCAGCCGTCCAATAATAACAAAACTCTGCGTCGGACACTATCAGAACCACCAATTTTCGATTCTTTTACTGATTTCTGTCGTTACATGAATTCCCAGTCACCGGAAAACAGCAAGAACAATCCAATCTCTGTAAAATCAACTCTTCGTAGATCAATTTCTGATCCCACTGCTGCGAAAATTATTCTTGCTCCGGCACCGGCAACTGCAACTCCGGCATTGACTTCAGGAACAGGGCATGAAAAAACTACAGGAAGCAAGGTAAAATAAATAGTCTTTTTCTTTTCTTTTTACAGTAATTTTTGCATATTTTATCGAATTTTAAAAATCTTTTTTACTTTCTCATATTTTATATCGAATCTATCACATAAATTGGTACGTAAGGTCTACATGTTAACACTATCTTATTATTTTGTTTGAGAAATTTGAAGTTTATGTCTAAAAAATCTTTATTCCGAAATGAAGTTATTTTCTAAATTAAAATAAATTATTAGTCCGCTTTCAACGTGAATGATAGTAACAATTATTTTTATTTAATCTTACTTTTTCATTTTTTGTTTTTGTCAATTATATAAGTGTTAAAAGGGTGGAAGCTGCTGATAAATTGGCCTGCATGAAGATGGTTCAAGTCCAACAAGAATTTTTCATATTTCATACAAAATAATATTCATGAATATACTTTACATGTTAGTTTTAGTGAAATATATAGCTAATGTTTTTTCCTCTTTTTTCTTTTTCTTATTTGTGTTCTTTTAATTTGTTAATATCATCTTATATGGATGATTTAGGAGCATTTTGATCATGGTGTATATTGGTTTGAAATGGACGGATTGAATTGAATTCGAGCGAATTGTAAGAAGTTGAGTTAATAAAAAAATGGATTAGTGACTCGTTTAGAAATTATTTGGATTGAAAATTTATAAGGGAAAGTACAACCAAATAATTAATGTTGCATGGATTGCATGTGGTGGTACTGTCGTAATGAATTTTAATACTCAATATTTTATATTACTTCGTTCATATTAATTTTACGTTATTTCTAAAAATTGGAAATTCATTTTTTTTAGTATCGTCTTAAGAGAAAGTACTTCTGAATGGTTTTCGATGAATATCAAATTCAATGCATCGAGATGATTAAAATCTTTTGACTTCTCTCAATTATATATACACGTATAATGTTTTTATTAATAAAATATTTCATTGATAGATTAGTGAAATTAATTAATGTTTCATAATCACAATTAAGAACATACCGCATATATTAAGTTAGTAGTCACATCACATGTCACATGTCAAAAGTCTTCTTCGTTGATTACGATTTACATATTACTAGTGCTAATTTGTTTTTTATCTCCCCCCCTCCTCCAAATCCACGAAATTAGGAATATAAAGTTAACGTTTGGTCATAAATTTTCAAAAAAAAAAAGATATTGAGATTTTGATAAAATTTGGAATGAAGTTTCAGAGTTTTTGGAAAACATATATATTTCACTTTTTAAAAAAAATAAAAAAAATAATATTCGTCAATTTACAATTAGTTACGAAGATTTATTGATGCAAATAAATAAACAGTAACAACAATAGTAGCTAGTTAGTTTTTAATTGAAAATTTTCACGTTTACGAATAATTTATGCACGATAAGCATACATTTTCAGACTATATAATCGAGAAAGTGAAGTAACATTGTTACTCTCAACAGTTGGGTAGATAGAATTAGAGTTTGGGCTATATAAACTCATAATTGATGGATTTTCTTATTCTTATATAAAATATAAAAATTTGAAGTAATGTTTTAAAATTTTAAAAGAACTTAACAAGTTTTGGCCTAAAAAAAAATGGTAGATTTTGATATTCTTGCCAAATCCTTTTTCCAAAACTTGACAAATTTTATGGCCAAATAAATTTTGCCAAATTATTTTTCAAAAAGTGCTTGCAATATCTATGGTTAAATGATCTCTTATCACGTGTCTCCATATTTTTTTATTGACCCCTCAAAATTATTTTGATTCTCTTATCTTAATTTACATAACACCATTTGATTTGATAAAAAAAAAATAAACATATTTAAAATTTATGATCTAAGATAAACTTATAATAGTTGCATAGTTATGAATTATTTCCTTAATAATAAAAGAAAATTCTACGATGGAAACATTTTGAATCAAGAGAATGAAAAAAATAATCCAAACGTCTAATTTACATGAGAGGTACATTATGAAGTTCATATTTTGCAATTTTATTTTTTAACATAGCTTTTAAAAGAGTAAATTTAATAAAAAGATAAAAAGACATGCTGGCATATTATATTTATAGAAAATACTTGCCGTTATGAATTAAAATTGTATACATTTTAAGAATTATATTCTCCAAATTAGTTTCACTATTTTGCAGAAAAAATTGAATCAAATAAGTTTCTCTTTCCTTATTTCGTGGGATTTTATTGGGTAGGTAATGTACGAACATGTTTTTTAAAAGTATTTTTTTTATATAATTTTTAAATATCCAAAATTAATAAGTAATTATTATGATCTATAGTATTTTTATTTAGTTTATGTAAACTTAATTTCAAGAATTTTAATGATTTTATGTTCAAATTTACTATCAAAATTAAATTATTTGACTCTTAAAATTTAAATTGTGCCACGAGACATCGAGAATTATACACTTTCAATTAAAATTTTAATTTATTTTTACACAAAATATGAAGTGCCATTATGTAGATAAATTAGTTATATAAAATATTTAACCTTTTTAATAATACATATTACCATCAATTGATCTATAAATTAGTCTTAACAAGACGTAAAATTTCATGTATATTTCAATTGATCATGGTGTATATAATTGAAAAAAATTAACATATATACTTCGTAATAAATATAAAAAAATACAAATAACAAATTTCAAATTTTGAATCAAAATATTTAATAAGAACAATAAATCAGGGGTTAAGGTGTTCAATCGAAATAAGGTTTTAAGTGTCTAAAGATGCGGTGAAGTGGATAAAGTTGTTCCTCTCTTAATTAGAAATTTTGGATTCAAGCCCTAAGTATGAATTTTTTTTTTAAATTAGTGCCCTACACGGCGCGAATCTGAAATAGTCGGACTTCAATGCGGACCGGGAACGAAAAGGCGCGTGTAGTGCAAACACCCAATGTGCTACGTGAATGGGTCCCTTCAAATCTCCATAGAAAAGAACTGCCAAAGCTGCTGTCCAAGGTATAAGCTGGAACCCTCTTCAGTTTTCTTTAGAACTTATAATATATAAAATATAAATCCTTTTTCCACACAAATTAGGAGAAAAACTATAATTAAATTTCTCTATAAAAACAAAAAATATGTTTTCTAATCATAGTTATTTTCATCATCTAGATTTCTCTCTTCTCTATGATTATCATATTCTTCATCCCTTTCTGAAATATTCAGAAAATCATCCCCAATCAAGAACCAAAAACTGGTCTTTTTCTCATCTTCTTTGAAGTTTTATTCAAGAAAAAAACACCCTTTTGCTTAAAATCATGATTTGTTCAGTAGTTTCTAGTGGCAATGTTCAAGATTTCATAAAAATCCAATCTTTATCATGTTGTCAGCAGCAAAATCATCTTTCTTCCATGAACATGACTTGTTCAGTAGTTTCTAGTGGAAACCCTTTACTACCCAATGTACAAAAATTCAGAAAGATTCAATCTTTATCATGTTGTCAGCAGCAAAATCCTTCCACCAACAACACCATTGACAAACCATGGAAGCCCAAAAGTCATCTGATAAAGATATTAGAAGCCCTTCAAGTTGAGAAAGTTTATTCTCCTAGTAAGGTCAAGAAAAAAGTGGTTTTTGAGGAGAAGAATGGGGGTTTATCTCAGATGGGGAGTCAATATATGGCAATTTTGTGTGGGGTTGGGTATTGGGTACAGGGTTTTAGGTGTTTTCCTTGGTTGGGTCTTAACTTTCATATGGCTAATGGAATGAATATGCATCCATCAACATTGCAACTTGTGCAGTATTTTGGGATTTTACCAATGGTTGCTAAGCCTATTTTTGGAATTCTGTCTGATGCTGTTTATATTGGTGGTGCTCATAGAATACCTTATATTTCTCTTGGAGGTAATAATTTTTACTTCCCCTTTTGCATTTGGTTTTGTTTGATTTGCCATATCTTTTGACTTTGCTGCTATATTTGTTTCTTTTTATCTTCTTCTGGAATTTCAAGTTTTAGCAGTTTACCATGTTTTTGTGTCTGGTGTTGGTGTTGTTTTGCTTCCTTTTTTTGGTCCTTTTTGCCACTTTTGTTTTGATTCTGGTATCTTTACTACAAAAGCAAAGATGTTCCTTGAGTGTAAAGGTGGTTGGAATAAAGTTAGCCATCTCTTTTAGTTTCCTTTGACAATAGGAAAAGTTTCTATAGATAAGATACTGATTTAGTAAAGCAAGTGATACCCTTCCAAATGCACTACTTGGAAGTTGAAGGTCACGAGATTTAAGACATTTGAAAGCCTCACTTTGTGGAGAGCAGTGATAGATTCAAAATATAAAGTAAACATAGTAAGAAACCAAGGGGGTTCAATAGCTACTACATATACATAAAATATAATTTTGACCGTGTATATATAGTGTAATTTTTTGATGAAGGGGTACCGTAGCTCTGCTCCTGGCGGGGAGGACGGGGTACAATGGATGTAATTTAGTGTAGCAAGTCAAAATTTTAAGTACTAGAACCATTGAGACAAGTTCTAAGTTTGAAGTGCACCTGTTTTAATTCCGTTGACTCTAAATGTTACCGGGATTTATGAACACAGATTATTTATCGGTAGGTTTGAGAGTTCACCTATTGCAAACCAATAAAACTAAAGTTTTTGGTAGCTGGATGAAAATGATCCAATATGCATTAAAACTTTCTTAGTTGAATTACTTCTTTAGCAAATTCTACTTATCGATCTCGTTCTTTGCTAATTAGCTGTGTTTTCCTTTCCTTTTCTTATTTTTTCCTTTTTGTGAAGAAGTTCAGGTGGTTGAGGAACTTGTAGTCTTAACTCTCTATCTGTATATATAAAGGTATATAGTAACGTACAATGTAGAATCTCTTTGTATAAATATTGTACAAGTGCCTAATAATGTGCTGTTACAGTTCTCCTCCAGGTTTTGGCGTGGGGTCAATTGGCATTAACCTCAGCTGCGAGTGAAGCTCTTCCTGCTCTTATGGCATGTGTCCTTCTTAGCAACGTTGGGGCTTCCATCACAGAAGTTGCCAAAGATGCTCTTGTGGCTGAATATGGTCAAAAAAACAGAATGCCGGGTCTACAGTCTTATGCATTTATGGCTTCAGCTGCTGGTGGAATTTTAGGTAACTTGATTGGAGGATATTTCCTACTCAAAACACAGCAACCTAAGTTAATGTTTCTAGCCTTTTCTGCTTTGCTTGCTCTGCAATTAGTAGTAACTTCAGCTACCAGAGAAGAGTCCCTTGGTTTAGCTCAATCATCAAATTATTCCGTTGTTAGGGAACCAATCACGGAATTATTTAGAAAACAGTATTCGGCTCTTATGGTAGCAGTTACAGACGAAAGTATTGCTCGCCCTCTTATATGGGTTGTTATGTCAATTTTAGCAGTCCCGGTCCTCTCCGGATCTATCTTTTGTTATCAGACACAATGCCTAAATCTTGATCCATCAGTTATAGGGATGTCAAAGGTGATAGGCCAATTGCTGCTTCTTTCTTTGACAGTCTTTTATGACCGGTTCGGCAAAAGGATTCCAATGAGAAAATTGATTGGTATTGTGCAGATAACATATGCTGCTTCTCTTCTTCTTGACCTTGTACTTGTTAAGCAGCTTAATCTCAAATTGGGAATTTCGAATGAATGGTTTGCTCTTTGCTTCTCGGGTCTAGCTGAAACTATTGCAGTATTTAAGCTCTTACCATTCCATGTGCTGTTTGCCAGTTTGGCTCCATCAGGGTTTGAAGGATCTCTCATGTCTTTCTTGGCATCAGCTCTGTGTTTTTCATCAGTATTTAGTGGTGTTTTAGGTGTTTCCTTGGCTACTTTCCTTGGTATAACTCCTGGTAACTACTCGAGTCTGCATAGTGGGATTCTTATCCAGTTTGTTGCGGCGTTGCTACCACTGGGATGGCTCAGTTATGTCCCTATGGCTCAACCTGCAGCTGAAAAGGGAATGAAGAGAGGTCAAAGTAAAAGGACGAGAAAATATAGAAGGGTAGGGAGGGTCGTTGATTCGTTCTATTCTTACAGACGCAAAAGAGAATCTGATTTTGATGAGCATCCATTACTGACTAAATGATCAGTCTGCTGCTTCAAGAAATTTGTTCATGTCCTAGTCCCAAGAGGAAATGATGATGAGAACGGACGACTCATGACTAGTCTCTGGTACTTAGTAGAACTCATCTATTGATTCTTGTCGAGTTACAATGATGCAGTCTGTTTCTCTGATTATGTCTGAACTTTCAAGAGACATATCTTTTACTCGAGCAGATTGAAGAAGGACGATGTAGCCTTATCCACGTTGTGTAAACTGTTGAGTTGCGGAGAGGCAAGAGAGATGGTCTTTTCAAGATCTCCACTGGTACTTCTCACTGATCAGAGACTGGTTTCGAGTAGGATCCCTCGCGCTCTATTGCTTTTTGTAGATGATGGCAGCCTCTGAGTTTGTGGGAGGTTTGAGAAAAATGACAAGCAAGTGCAATTATACTGAGGAGTACTATTTCTGCAATGGAAGACAATCTTTTTAGTTCCATAGAGAGCTCAAAAAAGTATTGTAGCTTTTGGTAAATTCTTTTCATCTGTTTAAGCGTTGATGAGAGTTACTCGATACATGCGTTGAGCGGAAGATAGTATGTCCTTACTGAAATAGTTGAGGTGTGCGTAAGTTGGTTCAGATGCTACCATATTCTATTATATTATAAAAGAGAGTTTAGGCCCAAGTATAATATATAATATTCAAGATTGGGACTTTTCCCAATCTTGAATATTATATATTATACTTGTGGGACTTTTAAAATTCTATTTTATACCCAAGTATAATATATAATATTCAAGATTGGGGCTTTCTTGAATATTATATATTATATTTATTATATAGTAGAACTTGGGCATAAACTCCCTTTTAAAATAATATAGAATATATATATATATATCACAAATGGAAAAGTTCCAATCAAGGAAGCAACATATATTATTTACAAATGACTTAAAAAGCTTTAAAATATTTAAAAGTATATAATAAAATAGGTTAACTCTCAGAATTCTATCATGCTCACATATATTGAGACAGAAAAAATAACACATATCATTTTAATATTACCAAAAAAGTATTATAAATAATAATATAATTAACAACTTAAAATATCTGAAAGACATTTTAAAAGGGTTAATTTTGTAATTTTATCCATATCACATAAACTAGGACAAAGTGACCAGTAATGTACATTATTTCAAAGTTACATAAAAATGTTATAAATCACAATAATTAATAACTTCAAACATTTTAAAGAAAAATATGAAAATTTGGATGACTCTCCAAATTTCATTTGTGTCACATAAATTGAGACAACAAAAATAACATATATTGGGTCCATTTTAATTTATTTGTCTTATATTTTTTATATTTAAAAATTGCGTAAAAATACTATAAATCATAATAATTGACAACATAAAATATGTTTTGAAAAAAAATACAAAAAATTTCACTGATTCTTGAAGTGAATCTATCGTAAAAATACTATAAATCATGATAATTGATGACATAAAATATTTCAAAAATATTGTATGTGAGTAGTCTTATTATGCCTTAAATAGCGTAAAAAAAATACAGATTTGTGATAAAAAAAACTTATTCTTTTATCCACGCAAACAATCGCTTCAAAAACTCGATTATTAGCCCCAAAAAATATCATTTATATTATTGGGCCCGTGCCTAGCATGGGCAACATTATCTAGTAATAAAAGAAATGGGAGAGGAGAGGGTGTGCTTGTAAAGTTACTAATTTTAAGTGAATAAATTACTTCTTCACTTTCCATTGTGTACACATTTTTAAATATATTATTATATATGCTAATCTTTAATACATTAAACCAAAATAGCAAAAAAATAATATTCATGTGATACATTTGAAAGTACTCTCAAAATTCTAGAGATGAAGATGTTCATTATTTATTTTAATATGAAAGTGGTCAAAGATCACTTATTTATTAAAAATAATCACTTTTATTTAGAATATTATTTTTACACTTAAATTAAAACTTGAGAAGTTAGAATTTTGCATATGACTAGTAAAACAAATTTTCAATATAAACTAAACATTAGCAAAATAACACTTGCATAACTATGGTACATTTGATTTATGTTGTTGAGCATCGTTATAAATTTTATGCGTTATTCAATTCGATATACTAACGGTCATTGAGAATAACGTTACACCAATCAATTTGGAGAATAACATATAATTTTATTCACCATATAACAATCAAATGACCTCCTATTTCACACAAATATCCGATTTTGACATTATTATTTCACTTGTGCTCGTTTTTTTTTTTTTTTCACGTTCATATAACTTTATATACAATATTTGAAGGATCGTATGATAGAACCTCAATCATTTTTGCCTCACTTAAATTACTTTAAATGACTATTCTACTTGAGTGGATACAAATTAAATGACGATATCAAAACAGACTCCCCTAGAGTTTTCAGTATTTTAGGAGTTGTCTTTCAATGAAATACTTGGGCCCACAATTCAGCCCAATAAAGTTACAATATATAGCTTCCTCCTTCACACTTTCCCAGGTGTTAGAACACTGAATTTTGTTCTATATTTTGGTGAAGAATCTTTCTGAAATTTGCTAAATTACTGCTCTCTACTCTCATTCCTCTGATTCTCAGTAAGTTTCCATACCCATTTTCTTCTTTTTTCACTTGGAAATTCCTGTTGTTATGATTCGTTTTTTTAAAAAAGTGAATTTTAGTACTGTTTCTTGATTTTTTGATCTTGTTAATGTTTAAGGGAAATGTTAAAGAAAAAATATTGAAATTTTAATGGGTCTGTTTACTTTTATCTGTCGGAATTCCCCTTTTACTGTTTACTCTCTTAGTAGAACTTTGAGTTACTTGGTACATGTTCTTGTTGTTGGTAGGAAGTGGCAGGTATTTAGTGGAATTAGTCGGGGTGTGCAAAAGCTGCACGGACACCAGTTATCAATTATCATATAAAAAGAAGAAAACTTTGGCTGAATTTGGTGATTATTTTTTAATAAAATTATCTTAGTGGACTTTTGAGTCTTTCGGAAACAGGCCTCTCTACCTCCACGTAAGGTATGCATACACTGATAACTTTCATAGACCTCACCTGTGGGATTTCACTCGGTATATTGTTGTTGTTGTTATCTGAGTAGACCTTTTTTTTTTTGTTTGGTCGCATATGTGGGGAGGAGGTACTTTCTTTGGTATGTTAAGAGTGCATTTTACTTGTTATTGCTTTCAGTTTTGGTTGTAGAAGACAAAAAAGTATTGAGACTGATAATTCCAATGTAAACAATTTTACCTGTGGATAATCCAAGGAGTAGGTGGAGAAAGGCTTAGAATTTTACAATCACAAAGCAAAACGAAAATGTTGAATAAGAATATGAATAGCAATACATGTAAAAGAGTATCTAAAGACAAAAATGTTCTTACAATAGGTAATGCCTATGTTTTTGTTTGTTGCATAACAGTTTCCAAATTATTATTCAGTGCATGAATAAACTCTGCATTATTTTCCCTCCATAACTAATCCGTGAATCAAACAACCCCTTGAAAATGGATCCAGGAAGTTCATTGACCTCCATCGTGGAGGTTACGGTTTCTCAGCGCATGAGACTACTCTTTTGCTTTTCAACATTTTTTTCCCTAAAAGTTTTGTTCCACCAATGTAGAGGTGTACGTATAATTTATTGATAAATCAAAGTTTACGGTGGTAATAGATTGTCCTCGCAGAGAGAACTCTTGATGAAAGAGATTACTCTTCCCTTCTTTCTTGTTCTCGATATTTTCCCCCTCTCTCCTCCCCATATTTGTATTTCTCAATAGGTAATGCTGTCTTCCATTTACATTACTGATTTTAAAAAAATGAAGTTTTCTCCTTACATAGTTCTCATACCTTATAAGTACTCCCACAAGTCCACAACCTGGCTTCTTCTCTATTTATTAAGATGAACACCGTTACAAGAAGATGAGTCTTTCGCATGGCTACTCTCATTACAAGGGCTTGTCTTCTTGGAAGAGTCTTAATGATAAGAAGGTGTCGTCTAAAATTATTTTGTCATATCAAATAGTGTATAAGGAATATGTTTCACACTACTTTCAATGATGTATTGTGTTGTTGAGAATTAGCAGTAACTTACAATGATGGCTCCAATTCTATCGTTTCTTGGAATGAGGGGGAGGGGGTATCAAAAAGGTTTCTCTTCTACATGTGAACTTTGAAGGAAAGATGAAACAAATGGGATGGTAGAGCTTGAAACGTAATGTTGTACATGAAGAAAATACTGTAATACTTTGCAAATGTGTAGTCAAACGTCAAGAGGAAAATGGAAATCCCCACATTTTTTTCTTTTCATGCCTTTAGGTTGGGGTGGTGGGTACTTTTTCTTTTCTGTTTTGGTTGTTGGTGAGTGTTGAATATTTTTTATTATCCAATTCTTCATGAACTAGGCAGTTGCTTATACATTAATTTCTCATGTGATGTTAGAATGGCATCCCAAGGATCATTGGAGATGCTGCCAGAGGAGTTTCCTACTAGGATCAATTACCGTCCTAATGGCAAGCCCCGGATTGTAATTGAACACTACATGCCTGAACTGGAAGCTTATATGCCAAGAGATGCTGAACCGATTGATTTAAATGTGCTACGAGAAATCAATGATCGATTGACAGCTATGCTAGAAGATGTGAGATTGATGAAGAAACGACTCACACGTATCATGATTTTGCAGTTGCTATGCCTCATTGTTGCATTTTCAGGTCTTTTTGTGAAGTTGATCCGAAAGTAAGTAGTGTTGCTTTGTGAGCCATTTGACCTTCTATGAATGCTGCTCAGAAATTTGTCTAGGAAAATGGAGTGTTAATAGTTCTTTGAAGTTTTGTGCTCTGAGTCGGTACTTTCTACAGCATGTGTGCCTCATCATCTTGTGATGTTGTAAATATGTTCTTGTAATCAAGTTTTTGGCTTTTGTTCATTGAAAAGAAGAGAGTTTTGGTCTTCCTTTTTATCTTCTCATCCCAGTGTGGATGATTGTACCAAATGTATGCCCAAAGTTTAATTAGTTGAAGTAATTAGTATGTGTTTTTGTTCAATTTCTTGCCTACTTCATGTTCAGGACCCCTTGTTTTTGCACACCATTGTATGGATCGCGCCTATGCTGAAATTTCATGATCTGAATTTGAACCAACAACATACCCAGTGTAATCTCACAAGTGGGGTCTAGATTTGAACTTAAAGAGAGATTTTAGCAGTGTAGTTTGATGGTATCTCGAATGTGTCTTGATCATTCCGAAGACTTGTTGAATACAAGAATGTAGGGCCTCAATAAGCTACTTCTCCATCATATTCAGTACATGAGTGTTGCTCCCATAAGTTTCAATAGATTCTAAAAGTTCAAACTTTCATAAACTTCTAAGATACTGTTACAAGGTTAATGGGAAAAAGGGGAAGTATGAAT